AAGCAAATATTTTAAAATTATTGTTTTCAAATAACGTGACATTTTTCGGTAGTTTTCGGATACGAATATTATATTAAATATTAAAATTTTGCCAAAATTGGAAAATGCAAATGTTCACAAGCACGAAGGCCATACCGCTCAACAATATTTGTATATTTGTCACTGTCATTTGTCATCAAGTGGCAAATCAGATATTTGGTCATTTGCTTAATTTTTATTTGGCTTATGTAGCAGCATTGCCAGACATCTGGAAGGTGGGGAGAGTGGTCCCACTGCTCAAACCGGGGAAACCTGCCAACTATAGTCCGATAACACTCCTTTCCCCGGTAGCGAAGACACTCGAGGACTTGCTACTCCCGTACTTCACAAACCACCTGACTCCACCGAAGCATCAGCATGGTTTCCGTAAAGTGCACAGTACAACAACAGCACTTAACGCCATAAACACTCAGATAACTCGTGGCCTTAACCGAAACCGTCCCTGTGAGAGAACGATTCTAGTAGCGTTGGACTTGTCAAAGGCGTTTGACACTGTTTGCCATTCCACGCTACTAGAAGATATAGAGCGACGAAAATGCTCCCAATCAAGGAGCATAACATAATGGTCTGCAAGTAGTTTCTGGTTAGGAGCCACAGATGTGGCCACCCAAACAGACAGATGCTTGCAGAGCAGCCCTCGCCTAGGCACGTCAGGAGGCATCTATATGGACTGACGGACGAAGTCCAGAGGGTCATTAAGCAGCCTCTGGACCCGTCAGCATACCGACAGGCCCTGAAATGCATTCACAGGGACTCAGTCTCGAGTTATGTAGACTCTAGACCTGTGAATGCCGTTCTAGGCACTTAACCACCGGAAATTGACGTGACGGAGCTTCATCTGCCTCGGGAGACAAGAACCACAATAGCCCAATTTCGCTCTGGCTACTGCAGCAGATTAAACTCATACCTGAGCAGACTAAACGCAGATGTGCCAAATTAGTGTCCGGCATGCGGAGAGACCCCTCACGACTCGAAACATCTCTTCGCATGCCCGGAAAACCCGACAATACTAACGGCTTTGTCCCTGTAAACCGACCCAGTGGAGGCTGCACGCTTCTTAGGGCTGCCGTTAGTGGAACTTGACGACAACGACTGAGATATCAACTGATCTGGGCGGGGTTGTTGTAGACGCTACAACAACAACAACAGCAACAATTTCATATTTTTATTCTCAATTTTATATGATTTTAAAATGCTGGCAAATGTCAGAAAAAATCATGGCCGACGAAGTGAGAGAATGAATTTACCTTGCAATCTTTTTATCATGGCTCAGTTTGTTTACTGGCGCGGCCATTGCCCATACATACAAAAATACATACTAGTTGCGTTCCAGCAGTAGTACGACTAGCAGGTTGTGCAGGATTTACAGGAACAGCTGTTTTCGCCATTAATAAACCTTATGTAAGGTGTCGTGCGGGAACAGCTCCTGTAAAATCTTGCAAATCGTACCGCTGCTGGAACGCAGCTACTATTTCGGTGCTCTAATGGAAAATAAACAAATTTGTAACGGTGTTCCACATCATTAAACAATAAAATTAATAATATATAAAATAGATAAACGTTCAAAGAGCTTAATGTGTGTGTTCTGCACACTTGTATTTGTTTGAAATGGCTTGTTACCGTACATTTTGTTAGGTAAAATTTTCAACTTTAACAACAAATTACTCGTAAACTGAGTTTCCTCGCCCTCCGGTTTTCAGTTTTGTGATGTGTACTGTACTGTCGTAATCGTGGTGCCCTCTCGCGGTAACCCAAAAAAGTTATTGGGCCCTGTCACACGGTCAATAATTATCACGATATTTGGATCGCGATCTATATTGATGGATTGATGGATGGCGCACGAATGCTACATGTTCAATATTTATCGCGTCAGTATTTGTATAATTTTTGTGCTGCACGCTTATTAAGGCGCAAGAAAACGTTTTTATTTTGTACGAATAATTTACGGATAATCCTTTACAATTTTTTTTTTCACTTTCACTTTCAATTTGCTTTGAAGGGTTTTAAGCACCGAGAACGAAGGCAATGCTGCACTTAGGACAGCGACTGGATGCCTTCTGATGTCGCCAGAATACCACCTGCACGACGAGGCGAAAATGCTCCCCGTTAAGGAGCATAACACAATGCTCTGCAAGCAGTTTCTGGTTGGAAACCACAGAGGTGGTCATCCAAATAGACAACTGCTTGCATATGAGCCCTCGCCCATGCACGTCAGGAGGCATCTCTACGAACTGACGGACGAAGTCCAGAGGTTCATTAAGCAGTCTCTGAACCCGTAAGCATATCGACAGGGCCTGAACGGAATTCACAGGGAGTCAGTCTCGAGTTATGTAGACTCCAGACCTCTGAATGCCGTTCTAGACCCACAACCACCGGAAATTAACGAAACGGAGCTTCATCTGCCTCGGGAGACAAGAACCACAATATCCCATCTTCGCTATGGCTACTGCAGCAGGTTAAACTCATACCTGAGCAGACTAAACGCAGATGTGCCAAATTAGTGTCCGGCATGTGGAGAGACCCTCATGACTCGAAACATCTTTTCGTATTCTACGCACACGTCAACCCTAACGCCTTAGTCCATGTGGACCAACCCTATTGAAGCTGCACGCTTCTTAGGGCTGCCGTTAGTGGAACTTGACGACAACGACTGAGATATTAGCCGATGTGGGTGGGTTTGTTGAAGCCGCTACAACAACAACAAAGGCAATGCGAATACGTTTTCTATGTTCGCATTATGAGAGTACAATTGAAAATGCTACACGTTCAATATTTATTGACGGTTTTGCGATCCGCGATCCCTATTTCCAACTTTTTATAAATTTTGCGATATTGATCGCGATCCATCAATATTGCGTGCTACAACTACTATGTATATGCTTAGGCGAATTGAGATATGAATTCGCCGCCCTGTTCTCTACTGCTAATGAGTAGTAGAGAATGACGTATATTCTCTACTAATAGAGAAATAATCGGTAGAGAAAAGTTACAGAAACGAGCTACTGGGTTGAAATTGGCTGCATACACACCATTTCATGCATTGAATTATACACGAATGTTAACCACGAATTCGGCATAATTTCATAAAATCGTGAAGTGCAAGTCCGGCAACGCCACGTTCCACAAACAGCTGTTTACTGGGGTTATGATGTTTTTACGCATTATTTACGCCCAAACAAAAACGGTTGAAATTTTATTATATCTAATTTTATTTATGTGATCATAAAAACTATTTTAAACAAACTTAGGAATTAAAATTAACGAAAAAAGCTTAAAAGTTGTACTTTTTTAGTACAGCGGCACTTACGCGTGCTAATTTTTAAAACATTAATTGACGAGGCATAAGGTTTTTTTGCATCCTGTACATTGCCATATTATAACCTCATGATACAAAACACAGTTTAGCTGCTTGAAAAACTTGCCTGGGTTATGTCCGTTATGCCTTGGGTTTGGATATGCTACGATAGAACCGGATGGGTGGCTTTTTTGCGAACAATGTGTCTTCTAACAGCTAATTGGTCGAAAAAAATCTTCGCTCGACAAAACATGTCGACTCCACCGCTTAGATATACTCATATCAAGCATGTACGTGGAGATTAATAACTCACCACCATTTCTTGCTACGAATATAAACACCTCAAATGTTTGATAACAGCGATTTGACAACTCTATATCCAAGATGATCCTATGAGCTTCCAATGATTTTTCAACAATATATATCAGACTTAGTAATAACCTTCAGAACTTGCTATCACCCAGTTTTAGTAGCAAAATGTAATCGAAATGTCGTAAGAAATAAATATATATACAATAATAATAATAATAGATTGGCGCTTACACATATGCTAGTGTTTGGACGAGCTTCTCCTCCGATTTGTGGCGTGCGGCTTGATGTCACACAAAGAGTTTTACGCTGACTCCGAACAGCGATTGTATTTTTATGAGAAGCTGGTTTTCATAGCAGAAATACACTCGGAAGTTTGCCATTGCCTGCCGAGGGGCGACCACTGTTAAGGAAACCCCTTCTTCTAAATTTTTTGCGATGTTGCTTTGATCAAAACTTAAACCCAGGCTCTGCGGATTGGAAGCGCGCACTGCTTACCGCTACACCACAGCGGCGGTACCAGTACATATATATACAGTTCTAGAAAATTACTTCAGAAACTACCTGACGCTTTTGACAAAAACTCTGAATCATCATGTCACACAGAGGCCAGATCTTGAACATTTTATCTTTATACGTAATTGCAAGACCATTTTCAACTACAAGAAAGGTTCTCTTTTCCACTAACTTCCTTTTTTCTCTTACAATAAAGTATTACTAACATAAATCTCCACAAATAATTCCGTATCGTTCCTCAAATACCTCTTGTTATGAAACAGGGCCCTTTCATTATTCGTGCAACTTTGTTTGCAATATAGCACATGGTAACCCCGTAGTTTCTCCTTGGCTTGGATTGACGATTGACAGCACTGATTCCAAACAAAAAAGATATTCAACCCAAGCAGCAGTGGAAACTGCGGTAAGTTTTTTCCATTTTATAAATTGCTTTATTAATGCATTACTTTATTCATATCTTTAGAAATAAACAAGAGACAACATTGTACGTTCTATTTCTTTCATTTCTGCGAGGGCCAGCAACATTTTTATTTCGCAGCTTCGCTTGCAGCTAAGTCCTGCGAAAATATGATTCACCAAACACCTCGCCGTATCCTCCGTTTCCAGCCAGGAGCAGGCAGCCAGCCTGAGGATGCTCCGAGATGTCTGGCAATCACATCGCCGCCTAACACGGATTCTCTAGACACCGGAGTTCTAGATCACTAGACTACGACCACTTTCACTTTGTCGTCCAGTGCCAATTCGTCAACCGCCGTCGACACTTTGCCGTCGAACACTTATTTGCCTGCTACTATTGATACTATATCGTCAGTTACTCATACAACAGCGGCTCATGACATGCCGCTTACTACTACTACGCCTGTATTACTGCCTGATACGTCCCCCATTACTTATATGCCACTTGTGACCGGCATTACGTCGTCTGACATGTCACCTGCGCCGCCTGACATGTCACTGGCCACTGGTGCATCGGACAATATGTACACCAGATCCATAACGACCGATTATTCGCCTTTTATGTGCACGTCAGCCAATACGTGCATTCCACCGCCCTATAGTCACACGTCTCCAGTACTGCCTGCGCCAATGCCCGTCGCTTATAAGCCAGCCGCGCCGAGCATTATGGCACTTTATGGTTATGCTCCTGCAACATCCGCCCCATTCAATACCCATGCGCTAATAGAGGCAACCTACATATCAGCCAGCACAAACTTTCCGCCGCGCGATAGTCACACGCCTGCAGTACCACCTGGCCCGCCGGCTACAATGTATATGCCAGTTCCACCTAGTGCTGCGATGTCTTATGGTCAGGGTGCAGCCGCCATGTTCGTACCCTCAAATACTCACGCTCCAATGGACCCGCCTGTCATGTCTTGTAGTTATATTCCAGCAGTACCGCCTGGTCCTCCGCGCTATGTGTATATGCCAGCCGCGTCTTGCAATACAGCACTTTATGGTCATGATCCAGCTGCTACCTTTGTATCTTCCAATACTCACACGCAAATATTTTCGCCAGTTGCACCATCTAGAACAGTAATGCCGTCAGGTCCGCCACCTACTGCCTATATCACGGATGTGTCCGGCGGTTCGCCAGCCATAAAGCCCTATCCGCCGTCCAGTATACCGGCACCAACGGCAGTACCCGCTGTACCGCCAATAACTTGTTAGCCGCCAGTTACGGATGCTTATAAGCCAGTTACTTCCAGTACCCTGCTGCCATTGTCTTATGGGCCTACAGCATCGAGCGCTATTCCTTACAGTGCGCATATGCCATCGCAAGTCGTCGCCTCGCTATCTCCCGCATACGCGCCAGCGATCGCCACATACAACTACTCTGTATCCGCTCTACCACAACGGATTACCGAGCTGCAACAACAACTGGCAGGAGTTGTAGGGCGACGTCAAGCTACGTCCGCGACGCCGCATCACACCTTACCGCCGCAGCAGCTTAACATGATCCCCGGCCACAACATGATGATGTTTATAGATACTCAAACTTTGAAAACAATCAGCGACTAAATAAATGCCTTCAAGGTGCCGCTCGAGATGCCGTCAAAGCGTTATTGATTCACCCGATTAACGTCAGTGCCGTTATGGAACAACTTCGCTTCCGATTCGGACGACCAAAGCAACTAATACGTAGCCAAATGAAGCAGGTCCGAGATACGCCAAACGTTCCAGAGGGAGCAACTGGAAAAATCGTGCAATTTGCTACCTTCACTAACAATCTGACAATATTTCTGCAATCAATGGGGGAACAGAGACATTTAGCGAACCCTCCTCTCCTCGAGGAGCTCGTGTCGAAGCTTCCTCTTACGAGATGCCTGGAGTGGGCACGTTATGCGGTTACTGTAAGGCCATACCCAACCATCGTAACTTGCAACTCATGGTTGACCGATGTTTCAAATTACGTCCAGATAGTCATGGATCCCGAAGTTCAGGATCCGAAACGCCGTGCGGTATTACACACCGCAACTCATGAGCAAGCCAAATGCTCATTATGTTAAGACGACCACAACGTCTCGGAATGTCAACGATTTAAAGATGCCTCTATTTTGGAGAGGTGGAATAAGACCAAACAGCTTTGACTCTGCTTCAGCTGTTTAAAAACCGGGCATGCTACTCGAGAATGTCGCCGCCGTAAGGCATGTCAGGTCGACGGATGTCTGAGAAACCACCATCAATTATTGCATGGAATCGAGGCTTCTCCTCCGACTCGATTACTCACCTCAAAGGATTCTACTGAGTCGACTCGCAAGCCAATAGTAACGTCACCTGAGGTGAAAAACAATAATCTGGTATTGAATTGCTCGTCCGCGCTCAACAGCGACATACTCTTCCGAGTGCTGCCTATTACTCTATATGGATCCAAAAAGAGTGTTTATACATATGCACTTCTGGACGAAGGGTCATCAATTACTATGATGGACCACGCGGTGACGGAAGAGCTGGGCGTCGGCGGTCAGTGCCAGGACGTAGACATTCAATGGTTTGGCGGAAAGGCCGCCAGGCAAGCGGTTGCCATAGTCGATACCGAGGTCAGCGGAGAGGGAATGAATAAACGCCATACGCTTCGCAACGTACACGGGATCGCCAACCTTATGTTACCTACACAAACGGTCCGCGAACGTGACATTCCTGACGTTGCACGCCATTGAGGGAAATTGCCAATGCAGCCGTACAAAGATGTCGCGCCTTCTGTACTGATTGGGCTCGATCATCCCGATGGTTCGCAGGTTCGAAATTTCTTACTCAGGAGGAACACATGTGGCCGAGAAATACTGTGGTTGACACGTGCGAGGATGAGGAAGAGCTTCGTTTCCGACTGGTATTGGTTACCCATAAGGCGAATCTGATAGACTTTCCAGATTCTCCTCATTTACCAAGCTGAAGAGATTCGTTGCCTGGGTGATGTGTTTCGTGAGCCGTTGCAGGGAAGGGCCAGGGAATAAAACGCTTTCAGCGAAATATGGTCTTTCGGTGGACGAGCTGAACGCGGCTGAAAACTTTATGTGCCGACAAGCTCAACAGAGCCAATTCGCCAATGAACTCCAAATCCTTCATAGAGGGGCTTCGGTTCCAAGAAACAGCGAGTTGTATTCACTCTCTGCTTATGTCGACGAAAATGGTATACTTCGTGTCCCCGGGCGACTAGACTCCGGAAGCTGGATGCCCTACAAGATGAAACGTCCAATAATACTCCCAAGTAGCCACGCGTGTACTAAGCTTATGCTCGCCGATATCCATGACAAGGTGATGCACCAAAATAGCGAGGCAACGATTTGTCAGATACGGCATAAGTTCTGGATTCCTCGTTTGCGAAGACTTCTTCGAAGCGTAATTTCGAAGTGCAATGTGTGCAAAATTAAGAACGCTAAGCCTGTGCAGCCAAGGATGGGACCGCTGCCGGAGGACCGCCTCACGCCATATAATATACCATTTATCTTTACAGGAATGGATTACTTTGGACCAGTAAGCGTGACTATTGGACGCCGAGTAGAAAAGCGATGAGCAGCACTCTTTACATGCCTTACGGTACGTGCTATCCATTTGGAGGGTGCATACGACTTGTCCATGGACGCTTGTATTTTGGCGATGCGCAAGTTCATGAACCGTAGAGGAGTGCCACGGAGAATACGATCGGACAACGGCAAGAACTTCGTTGGAGGGGATAACGATATGCGGCGTTTCTCAGACGTTTTTGATTGTCAGGTGGTTCAGACAAGGCGAGAAACTAAACAGTTCGGTAGTGACTTTTTTGGCCTCCTTTTGAATTTGCAAAGTTGTTGGTACCAGGCAATGAACCATATTATATTTAAATTGGTTATAATATATTTTCAGTATATTTTATTTGAATTTATTCTATATTTCAACGATTCCACATAATTTTTGCAGTGTTTTAAATCCTATTTATGCCACTCAAGCTTTTTAATCTAAAAACATCATACGCCTAGTAAGCACACGATGCAGCGAACAAAGGTGGCGCCGTCAGTGGTACCGCTACTTCGGTTTTGCCGATTTTGACAGTTGTGGTAACTTGTAAATAAACCTTTGTTTACAAAAAAGCGAAAGAGAAATTTTAATTATAAATGAAAAATCAGTTTACATTGTGTTAGTTTGCAATTTGTGAGTGATTTTTGAGTTGAGGACTGCGTAAAAACTAATAAAACGAAGTGCTGTGCGTTAAATTGCGAGAGCCGTCAAGATGCAAGAAGCGTAGATGCAAGTGTAGCGCTGGAACGAATCGCTGCATTGCGTGTACATAAGGCACGGTAAGGCCGTTCCCGAAATGTTTCTCTATTATTATATCAACAGCATTTCCTCACAGTAATTTTGTTTCTGCTCCACGCATCCTCCATTAGCAAGTTAACTAATCAATCCCGCAGAGATGCTGCTGCAGTTTTCTGCAGCAGCCTTAATTGCAAAGCAATGGAGTGCACTAAAATGTTCACTGTTCTCTAATAGATTGGGTGAAAAATGCAATATTTTCACATTTAGCAAAATTAAAACACGTTTTTCGCTCTAAAGTGAACAGCTTTGGCAGTTTCAATTCGTTCTTCTTTTCGCTCCATTCTTTGTTTACTTGTGGTACACAAATGTCAACGCCCAGGACGGCGCGATCTTGTATTCTATCATTCTTGTAGTAAACAGTTGTTTGTGAAACGTGGCGTTGCCGGACTTGCCCTTCACGATTTCATGGAATGATGCCGAATTCATGGTAAACTTTCGTCTATAACTGAATTCATGAAATGGTGTTTGTGCAGCCAATTTTAACCCAAATTCATGAAGTCAACTCGTCATTAGCCTACGCAAAAACGTAGCAAATAAATATCGCGATACTTATAGGGAATTTACATGATGCGATTTTTCATGCGATTTTTAGTTGAAAGCAAAAATCGCCTGGTCCTTTCAACTAATCGCATTCGATTAACTTTTGGTTCAACTAATCGCCTGTGAAAGTTCAATCATGTAAATTCCCTATTAGATCACGTCAATAAATACTGACTGTGTGACAGGGCGCAGGGTTGCACGAAAAAAAGTTGAATGGCTAAAAATATCAAAATATTCGCCATAAAAAAGCGTTTGCACTGTTCAACTTTGCATTCAACTATTGGTTGAACGGCCTTTCAACTAATCGCTTTCAACAAAGATGGTAGTCAGCCAAAATTTAGCCATTCAACTTTTTTTTCGTGCTGAGTTGACCGCAAATCGTCGGCTGGGTAAAAGATTGTCGTAAGTGCAATTTTGACGATTTTTAGATCTAGATGCAGTTATATATTTTGAAATTAGGTCCTTCGATTGGTGTTATCAGTTTTCAGATTCTAGTTTCCGCGATATTGACTACAAATTTTTCTGTAATTTAGTAAATATTTAGTTAGTGATTCACCCATATTAAACTAATCAATATCTTAAAAATAACGTTCTCCATTTTTGGATATCTCCTTTAGTTTCCGAGATACTGAGTAAAAAGTGTTGTTAATTTAGTAGATATTTTGATCACATTTTGTCGTATTTCATACAAAGTGGCTGCCAAATTGTGGACAAATGGCGCTTACGACAAAATTTTACTAAAGAAAATCCTTCAGAAACTCAAAGATAGTTAACATTAAACATTAAAAATTAAATAATTTAAGAATTTTGTGAACTAGTAACATTTACAAAGACTTTGGAGAATATCTATCTTCGTGTTTTTGAGAAATTGCATTCCAAACTTCAATCGCGATTTCCCACGACCTGCCGAAATCAACATACGACAATCTTTTACCCAGGAGACATTTAATGTTGAACACAAAGTCGACCAATGCAAACTGTTATATTTTCCAGGTTTGGTAGATTTTTTCAAGTGGATGGTACAGCTGAAATTAGTCAAGAACGCTGAACGTATACTTAAACGCAGCCTGTATACGCAGAATTTTGTCGATTACTGGAGCCCTCAGTGTTGCTTACTACAGTGTTGCCACTCATCAATGCCTTTTCATAAACTTACCTTTTCAACTACAATTTTTCGTACTATAATAGATCGTAGCTATATATAGACTACTTAGTTTTCAACAAAAAACTTTATTCAATAGTAAATTTCAAATATTTTAAACGTATTTTGAATAGGAAATTACACCTTTTTTACCATCTGCGAAACTGACGAAGTGGCAACCATCTATAGAAGGAAGAAATCAGCTGACACGGACAAGTCTAAGTTCCGCAGATTTCTGCGCTACGGGCTACAACTACAGAAAAATTCTGCGGTGTTGAGTTTTCATTTGGCGCTCTGGAAAGACAGATCGTGTCAGCTTTCTAGGGTTTACGTACCGGTAGGTTTACGTTCTTGACTAATTTCAGCTTTAGTATTTTTTTCGTCTGTGGCAGCCCCATTCCAGTTCTTGGTTCAAAAGTATCGAGCACAGTATAGACAGTAACCAACCTTTTTGGGTTGTTGGTGTAGTAGTCGTTGTTGTTGTAGTTATATTCACTCCTGAGGAAGGCACGGGGTTGTGTGCTGCTATTTAATTGCCTTCCTCAGACTTTTTCTTAGATTTCAGGGTTGTGTGCTGCATTATTATTAGATAAATAAATTTTAGCATTTGACAAATCGTGATTTTATAAAAAGAAAATTATAAATGGTGTTGAAAAGCAAACAAACGCTCGTGCAAAAGCTCTATTTTTGTGTGTTGTTAAAATTTATACATGGCGTATTGATGGTAATACAAGCAAAGTATTCTTTTGTGAATTTTATGTTACTTGAGAATTTAGACAACGTGCGAGTTGCCAGGTTCTTTTATCAATATAATTAACACAAGCTTTTCCGCGTGGTTGCCTTTCAATAAATAGAATAAACAAATATTCGCAAATAAATTGGATTTACTTCATAACTGACAACTAACGTACGCTTTTTGTTCTTTTCTCCATTTTGATTTTGACTGTTTATAACCGCCAACAACTTTATGTGTATACATATTTACAAGCTGTAAAAATTTTGCGTAGTCCCACGAGCTAGGTAAAAACTATGGCATTCGTATTCACAACGAGAAATCTCAAAATTTTTGTTTGGTCTTTCCAAGCTTTCTCTTTTTTATTAGTTGGCAAAGGCCCTCAGTGGCAGCGCTCCGAACGTTGAGATAGTAATTTCATGTCAATTAGTAGAAAAGTTCCATGTTGAAAAAACTTTTTATTATGGCGAGAAAATTTTACTTTTCTGCTGTGCCAATTCGTAACTTTTTACTGCTGGAAATATTTGACAGTTGCTCTGGTGCAAAAGTTGAGCAATTAAAATCAGAAATTATACAAAAAATACTTGTTTTTACTGACTTTTATTCTTCTAGAACTAAAAGCCATGCATTTATTATACCCCTTAGTAATAAAATTAGAACAAAAAAACTCTTCAAAACCGTCAGGCCGGGTTGAAAATTTTCATTCACCTCATAGTTAACAAAAATTTACAATCCGTAGTACTTTTCTATCAATTCGCAAACGCCGTTTGCACAAAAAAGGTTATAAAATGCGTTTTATTTAAATCGTTTAGAAAATGAGTCATTTATGTATACCATTTTATGTGGAATTATTCAATAAATTTAGTTTTGCACTATACTTTTTGAAACCATTTGGAGTAATTATTATTGCTTCTTAAAAGCAACCCTGCGTGCTTGGAAGGCGTCCGTACCAATAATTTCATCCCTAGCATATTCATCCCCGAGGAAGGCAGTCGCCAAATTCACCGAAGGTTGTTTACTGGTTATATTGTGGTATCGAGTAATTACTTGCAATTTCTTGTGTCGTTTCATCGCTACTAGGACATACAAATTATAGCAAGTTATTTATCTACGCCCTTCCAAAATGGGTGACGAGGTTCAGAAAGAATTTGTACGATCAATCCTAACTTTTTTGAAAAGGCCTGTTACATCCCTGAATATGTCAGAAGACTGTAAAGAGAGCCTCGATGTTGCTATTCAATGTCTTCAAACAGCTTTTGACATCGGAGAAGAAACGTGTATGGAAGCAGATTTTCTTGGTGAAAGTGTTGAAAACTCGCATAAAAACTTACATATATTTGAAGTATTTCAATCATTATACATTGAACGAAGTCCAAAGGTTACACAAATTGCTGAAGAACTCAAAAACGAAGGCAATCGCCTCATGAAAGATGGAAAGTATAATGAAGCTCTACTTAAATATAATAGCGCAATTTCTTTTGATCCCAAAAATCCTATATATTACTGTAATCGAGCAGCGGCTTATATTCGATTGAATTATAATGAGAATGCTGTTACTGACTGCAAAACAGCTATATTGTACAAACCAACTTATAGTAAAGCATATGGAAGGCTTGGTATTGCATATTCTAATTTAAAAATGTACAATGAAGCACAACAAGCATACGAAAAGGCAATAGAATTGGAACCTGATAATCAAGATTACCGGAATAATTTAGAAGTTGCTCGTGATGCAGCTCAAGCTCGTAATTCTATACCACAAATAACGGAGGGAATTAATACCATGTTATCAACTCCAGCCATTCGAAATATTTTCAATAGCGCTGACATTGATTTGGAGCAATTGCAAATTTTGTCTCAAAATCCAGTTGTGATGAATGCTGTTTCGCAACTGTTTGCTGGGATTCCAGGCACCAATAGCGATGCAAATACCTCGCCCGTGATCCCCAATGGTATGTTACAACTTTTCCAGTCGTTTGCAACACAGCTGTCATCGGGTCAGAACGACGGATCTAGCGAAGCATTCCGTCAAAATTCAGATTCAGATCCACCTGCGCCTTAAGTTCCCCTGTAAAAAAATTGCATACTAAAATAAAGGAAAATTTTCCAATAATAGACCAGGCTTTCAAAAAAAGGGAGATGAGGGAAAGTAGAGGGGGTCCCCGGATTTTAAATCTGAAGGCCCACTCGAGAGGCTTATAGTTTTTAGTTAATTAGTTGTTAAAAAAAGTTGCAAAAAAGTCAAACTCAACCTCCCTTTTTCCTTTGTGGAGCGATTGAACTGAAAGTGAAAAAATTGCGAAAAATACTGAAAACGGAAACAATGGAAACGGAAATATTTAAGTTTATATGTGGCGTATTCTTTCTGAAAGTTACCCCCTCGCTATTTTTCTTTTAACTCAAAACTTTTAAAAATTGTAAAATTCCTTAAAAACCAAAGCTTTCCAACGCCAAGTGGCAAAGTAACGTAAGATCATCTGCAGATTTTTTTAATCCCACTCCGCATTGGAAAGCTTGTTTCTTTCAGGAATTTTAAATACACTTAGGTCTTTTTTTTATGCGGTACATGAGTTCCTCAGAAAGCCGCATAAAAAAGTTCCTTACTTTCATACACAAACAAGGCATGCGCTCCAGCATTTTCAAAAACCGCATGAATTCAGATACTCCATGTAAAAAGATCTAAAAACTCCATAAAAAAATCCATTGAGGCAATATTGACCAAAAAACTATTTATTTCTTCACTTCAACACTTATTATTCCATGTAAAACTGAGCATTAATCAAATAAATAAAATTATATCTGTATTTTAACCAAAAACAAAAAAAAAATACCACAGCAAATGCATGAATTATGTAAGAATACAAAGACAAATTATTTATCAGAAGCATTGTCTCTTACAAACTGAAAAAAAGTAATAAAAACTCAAAAAGGCAAAATCGCTACAGGGAAGAAATGGTTTGAAAAAACCGCATAAAAGGAGACCTAAGTGTATTTAACGTTCAGAAAGAATTCGCCATATATATTTTTTTCTTAATTTTACTAACAAAATCTAATTTTTATTAACTAAGCCTTAATTGTATATCTATATATCGTTACCTTAATATAGAAAGGCCCTAACTCATATAGTCGCTGAGACGCAAAAATCCGTAACTGACTAAAATTTGTTATTTCTTAAAATGTTGTGGGGGCTTATAATAAGATGAAATGCATCATAAACAATCAAAAAGGAAATTTTGGATTTTTACTTTAACAGCCTAATTCTTAAAAAAAAAACTTAAAATGCTTTATAAACGTATAATAGTAAAGGCACATTTCATTTTTATAAAAGTGTAAAGTAAGCACTATTCATAAATATTTTATAAGAGTTTTGTAACTACAAATATTTGTAAAGCGTTTGGTGTCAAAACTCGAAATAAATACGGCAGGTTTGGCTAGAAAAATGTCAAGACCCTTTCAGTCAGTTGAAAAAAATAATATAAACATTCATTTGTTGGAAATATAATTTAACTAAGCGCTTTAGTTATATTAGCAATGGAGCAAAAGAAACGGAACAGGGGGGATAATTGGACTACGTAAGATAAGGTATGCCTAATTGTGTGGATATAAAATATAATTCATTGTGTTTAATATAATTTTTAAGGCTTTGCTTCAAGAATTAGTTCGTGAACGGGTGAACATTATTGAAAATAAGAACACGGATACAAACTCAAATAAGGCGAAACAAGAGGCCTGGAGAGACTTACAAGAGAGGTACGTACAACTTAATATTCATGTTCATACGTATTTCTTTACATTGGGAAATATCCTTTGCTCAACATTTTGTCTTGCAGCTTCAGTGAGATATGTGCAACTAAGCGAACTGTGATCCAATTGAAATCAGACTGTTGCTGAACCATTATCAAACGAAGACATCTCCGTTTGGCAGCCAAATGAGTTTGTTGTCAACTTCAATTCATTTGATTCGGACAAAATACAGCAGGTAAATATTGTCAAAATCTGCGGCGGAGAGAGGAGGCCTCTATATCTTCTAGTAGCGTGGAATGGCAGACGGTGTCAAACGCCTTTGACAAGTCCAACGCTACTAGAATCGTTCTCTCACAGGGACGGTTTCGGTTAAGGCCACGAGTTATCTGAGTGTTTATGGCGTTAAGTGCTGTTGTTGTACTGTGCACTTTACGGAAACCATGCTGATGCTTCGCTGGGGTCAGGTGGTTTGTGAAGTACGGGAGTAGCAAGGCCTCGAGTGTCTTCGCTACCGGGGAAAGGAGTGTTATCGGACGATAAGAATCTCCTTTGTTGGCAGGTTTCCCCGGTTTGAGCAGTGGGACCACTCTCCCCACCTTCCAGATGTCTGGGATGATGAGAGTGGCCATTGACAAGTTGAGGACCTCCGTTAGGTACGCTACCCCCGCAGGACCCAAATTTTTCAGCATCAGCATGCATATTCCGTCGGGACCCATGGCTTTGGAGGCTTTCGCCTTCCCGATGGCCACCTGAACTTCACCGCAAGTGAAAGCAAGGGGGGCACAATTTGTTGGCAGTTTGTGCAGCCTTCTGGTCACTCGACGCTTGGCTTTGTCCACCGGAGGATGCAGTATGAACTGCCGGCTAAAATAGCTCGCGCATCGCTCCGGGTCCGACGAAGCATGGTCGCCGAAGGAAATTTCGACTCTGTCGTCGTGCTTCGTCGGATTAGACAATGACCTCACGGTTGACCAAAGCTTGCTCACACCAGAGGTGAAATTACAAGTCTTCAGATGCTCCTCCCACTTCTTCCGCTTATGTACGTTTACTAGTTGCCGAATCTCCGCGTTGAGATCCCTGATACGGGGATCTCCGGGATCGGCCTGACGAAGGCTATCACGCTCATCGGCTAGAACAGCCGCTTCGGCAGGGAAGTTTGGACGTGGGTCCGATATACATCCTGCCGGTATGAAGCGAGCTGCAGCAGCAGTGACAGCCCTGCGGAACTTACGTTCACCGAGATGGACGTCGGTTGGTGTGGGGAGCGCTGTGAAGGTGTTTTCGGTAAACTCCGCGTAACCTTTCCAATCAGCTTTAGAAAAGTTGATATAGGTCCGGTGTTTGGCGGAGGCAAAGTCGATTATCTCTTAGCTTGGTGGTTATTCCGGCATGGTTTCCTACCCGGATGTATTGTCAAACGAATCTTCATGACAGTGACGATGGCACAACGCCGATGCAAAACAGACAACCGAAATTTGAAAAGGCATGACGGGAAATCGTTCTACAATACATCTACCTTTCGAGTTAAGCTGCTAATTCTTATAGTCACAGAAGTAAATTGTATGTAAATAAAACTTTTCAGAATCCTTCAGGTGTAGAAGCAACAAAAATGATTTTGGATTGCAACTTAAAGTGTACGAAAAAGTGGCATGTAATGAAAATGGAAACTGAAAGGAAGAAGCAAAGGAATTTGGACTTGGGATATGAAATTCTAAAAAGCAATGCGAATTTTATGAAAAGAGGCAAAGTTAAAATAAATTAAAAAACAGTTAATATTTCTTGGCGATATGTTATTTTTAATTAATTATATGGCGTATTGTTTGAAATTTAAAAATTGCTGTCAATAAACATATTAAGTATAATATTTGCTCGTCTCTGGCTTGCTGGATTTCCATCGGGAATTTCATCAAGTGAACGGTCGGGTGTTAGTATAGAATTATTGCATGGTGCTGAAACATATGTATGTATGTTTCACAAAAATATACAGGATGTCCTAGACCACCCATCCACCCCGTTAGTTGGTAAAAACCTGTACATATATCCCATTAAAAAAAGACTTCCGGTCAATTAAATCTACTTCCGGTTGAAATTCAAAGTGGGTAATACGACCAAAAGATAGAGCATCCACGACATGGATGTTGATTTTTTGTTTGCGTTTTCCAATAAACAACATGTCCTCTATTTTCAAAGTTTTGTTATTTGTAATACATACATGTATTGTTAACAAATTCTTCCGTGTTTTCGTTTTCAACGATTGCAAAATTATGTAGGACTGCAAGTGCGATGATAAGTGTTTTTGCATTTTGCAGGGAAACAGTCTTGCCGGGCTTGTTCGAGTTGTAATCACAACCGCAGTGTTGCGCGAATTATTAAAGTATCGCGTTCTGTGTGAATTTCTAGCAATGTATTATCAGTTGGGCTGTTGCAACAATGTCGCCATTTTTCATCAATACGGCAGTAATGCCGCTTTTATTACGTGCCTCGAACAGGCCCGCCATCTAGTAAGCAACGAAATCTTTGCTTCCAAACGCCAAAACATCTTTCTATTGCAATCCTTGTCCCGATATGCGCAATATTGTATCTCTTCTTTTTCATTCTGCGGCCTAAGATAGATATGGTGTGAGCTTATACCCTGAATCGCCAAGCAATCGCCCTTTAAAATTTGCTTCCTCGAAATTCGCTTTCAAGGATGACTCGTCAAATATGCGACAATCGCGAGTACTACCTCTCCACCTTGCAACAATATTGCGTATTTTTAGATTTTCATCACATACTGCCTATACAATTTCTCTTTATTTGTTTCTATAGTCAAATTGTAATCAAAATTACTCGGACATTTAATGAATAATATCCTTTTCGATTTATGTAGTATTGGGATATATCTCCGCCCACTTTTTTAATTTGAATGTGTTTCACAGCCTTAAAACTTCTCATCAGCGATTGCTCCTTTGCTAAAGTTTACGGCATTTTTATAATATTATCCGCATGCTTAGCGAGAGCGGTTGCCACCCTAACACAGATGCGGGATACAGTAGCCTGACTTAGACCATGGAGCTCACCTGCATCACCCTGAACCTGTATTATAAAATATTATAATATTAAGTGAAAACATTTGCAATTTAAAATCTTACTTTTCTGCGGCCCCAATATCGTAAAGCCACGAGAACTTGTAGTTTAAGCGAAGTTCCAAAGCCTCTTCATTTAATTTCATTCATCAAATGAAATATCAGATTTCACCAAATTTATAATTTTGTCCACTCCACCTTTAGAGAAGCGATATCTCATACGAAACTCCTCATCATTCAATAGAAATGGATCTCTTCGTTCCTGGAAAGATTTT